TTTTCTAGTTAGACCTACCCGATAATTCTGGGAATTCCGAATAAACTCTTGTTGTTAGGTACCGTCAAGTCAGAAGTGACTCAAAAAAAAAAAAAAAAAAAGAAGTGACTCATCATTGACCCTCCAGCAGGTCTTCAAAGGTAGTAAATTGCCTGGGAGGAGACTGCCTATCTTTGTCTAACAGAACTGCTGGTGGATTGGAACTGCGTGCATCTGGGTTGGCAGTGCAACTCCTCACCACTAAGCCACCAGAGATCCAACAGACTCATTTTAAACATCAAGGAAGAAACAGTGTGCATTTAAAAAAACAAACAAACAAACAAACAAAAAAAACCAACTAAACAAACCTCAGTAACTATACGTTATATCCAAAGAAGGTAATTTTTCCGGCAATTCCAACTCCAGCAACGGCTGGAATGCCATGTGACTACAGGGTTGCAGAGAAACTGATGCTGGCGCCCTGTCTATGCAGTTCCCTCCTCAGTGAGTTCTTTCCTTACTTCAAATATATTTATATCAGTGTAACATGAAGGTTTTACAGCAGATACACTGAGAACGCATGGACAGCAATTCCACCTTCGCCGCCTCCATAAGGAGGGAAAGCACACGCAGGATGGGAGATGAAATGCTCTGCTCTCTTTCAGATTTGCTCGGCTTCACCCCTCTGATGTGTTCCACACCACTTCACCCCACTTTTCAAAAAGTTGATAAAATGTCAGGCTGATTCATTCTGTAGGGGGCAGAAGGCACAGATCAGAGGAGCGGTGTAGAGCAGACCCGGGTGCAGCCGAAGCTCTTTGAAGCTAACTTGCCTCTCTCCGCTACTACTTTATTCTCTCCACATGTTCTTGTTTTAGTCTTCTTCACAAGAGAGGCAGTCAAATCTTTCCCATTTTCATACCTGGGTTGCTGCTCAACAACCTCTACCACTGAAACCTAAGAAGGTAGCGCCATTTAAAAAAAAAACAAAAAAACCGCACAGAACATTAACACTGCTCCTGGCCATCTGATTCCATTTTATATAAAAGACATCATTACAGACATTGATTCCCACAGGGCCAAATATACATATCTGGTACACAGAGTTTTTCCATCACAGAATCGACAGTACTGGCTACAAAGCTCTAATTTTAAGCTCTGCTACCCTGAGACATAGGTAGTAACTATCGCAAACATCCTATTAAAATGATAGAATGTAGTTGGTATTATATTAGTAGAATATATGCTATACAAAGGGAGCTCTGGTGGCCTAATGGCAAGAAGCTGCACTGAAATCCCAAAGGTGTGTAGTTTGAGACCACAGCTGCTCTGTGGGAGAAGGACAGGCAGTCTTCTCCCATGCCATTAACTGCCTCTGTAAACCTGCCAGAGGGTCAGCTATGGGTTGGTTGCAACCCTATGATACACAACAACAACAACAACAATGCTATATAAAGAAAATACTTCCAAAACTAGCTTAGTACATAATCTTTCATAAGTTTTGCAAAATCCTTCCTGTTTCTGCCCCCATAATTACTTACACTTCTATATATACTGCTGAGATCAATATATTACATGAAATGGACATCATAAATAGACCTTCAGATAGCAGATGATTATGGAGCTAAATATATAGTCTTCAGAAATTTTTAGGGTGTCCACACTCTGTCTCAAAGGTGAGATACAATTTTTAAAATATTGTCACTAAAAATTACATCACTAAACATTCACAGAGCACGTACTAGGCCCAAAACAGTACAATAGGCTCTGACAACAGTACACAGGTATCTCTGGGCAGCACACAGATTGACTCATCCAACACCAACAAGAATGGGAGGTGTTCCATTGTTATGTGCCATTGAGTCAAACCTACTTAGAACTGACTTTTTATAGGATTTTCAGAGGCTGTAAATTACATGGTTCATTTATATAATGGAATAACACACAGCATGTTAATGATTTTGTAAATTATTACCTAACTTGGGAGGGACTAGAGAACATTATGCTGAGTGAACTAACTCAGTTCCACAAGGACAAATATGGTATAAAGCCATTATTGTAAAATTAGTATAAGAATTCAAGGGGGTGGGGGAAGGTGGAAGCAGGGGAATGGGGGATTAATCATGGAGTTGCATAATTTGATGGGTGGGGGTGAGGGAAACTGAAAGAACTGTTCTCAAAAACAATGTATTCAAATTTTATAAATAAACTAGTATGTTGTTGTTATGTGCTGTCGCTTGCAACTCATAGCAACCCTATGTACAACAGCCCTAAACCCTGCTCTATCCTGTGCCAATCGCACTGTCTCTGACATTCCCATCCTGATTACCCCAGTCACTGAATCAATCCACCTCATAGAGGGTCTTCCCCCCCTGCACTGTCCCTCCACCCTCCCAAGCATAATGTCGTCCTCCAAGGACCAGTCCCTCCTTACAACATGTCCAAAGAACGTTAGATGGAGCCTCAGAATCTTTGCCTCCAGGGAGCTGCCCAGTTTAACCCTTTCCAGGATGAATCTGTTTGTTTTCCTAGCAGTCCATGGTACTCTTCAATACTCTCTCCAGCACCACAGCTCAAAGGCATCAATTCTCCTTCTATCCTGTCATTGTCCAACTCTCTGACGCATAACAAGTGATAGCAAAGACCATGGCCTGTATCAGGAGCACCTTAGTCTCCAGAGAGACACCATTGCTCTTCAGTACTTTGGAGAAGTCCCTAACAGCAGACTTTCCCATGGCAATACGTCTTTTAATTTCCTGGCTACTGGTGCTGAGAGTGTTGACTGTGGAGCCAAGAAAACTAAAACTGTGAACAATCTCAATCTCTTCACCATCCATCCTGATGCTGCCAACTGGCCCAATGGTGAGAATCTTTGTCTTCTTGACATTGCGCCTCAATGCATATTAGAGGCTGCAGTCCTTGACCCTCTGCAGCAAGTGCTTCAGGTCCTCATCAGTTTCAGTAAGCAGGGTTGTGTCATCTGCATAACGCAGATTGTTGATAGATCTTCCACCAATCTTGACCCCACATTTCTCCTCATAAAGCCTGGCTTCCTGGATAATATGTTCTGCATACAGGTTGAAAATTTATGGAAACAGAACACATCCCTGGTGTACACCCTTCCCAATTTTGAACCATGCAGTGTTTCCTTGCTCCATTCTGACCACTGCCTCTTGGTCCAAGTATAAGTTTCTCATTAGCACGACCAAGGGTTCTGGGATTCCCATTCTTCTCAGAGTCAGCCACAGTTCGTTATGATCCACACAGTCAAATGCCTTTGCATAATCAATGAAACACAGATAGACATTCCTCTGGTATTCCCTGCTTTCAGCCGAGATCCATCTAACATTAGCTACAATATCCCTAGTACCATGACTCCTTCTAAACCCAGCCTGGACTTCTGGCAGTTCTCTGCTGGTGTGTTGTTCCAGTCATCTTTGGATAATCTTCAGTAGAATCTTGCTTGCATGTGAAATTAATGATATTGTTCTATAGTTTCCACACTCTGTTGGTCACCCTTCTTTGGAATGGGAACAAATATAGATCTCTTCCAGTCAGTTGGCCAAGTGGTTGTTCTCCAGGTTTCTTGGCACAACTTGGTGAGCATATTCGGGGCAGCATCTGTTAGCTGAAATATGTCAATTGGTATACCATCTATTCCTGGAGCCTTATTTTTTGCCATTTCCTTCAAAGCAGTTTGAACTTCTTCCTTCATCCCATAGGCTCTTGCTCATACGCTGTTTCATGAAATTCTTCTGTGTCTGCCAATTCCTTTCGATACAGTGACTCAGTATATTCTTTCCATCTTCTTTTAATACTTTTAATAGGAAGAAGAAAAAAACTAGTATAAAATTAAAAAAAAAAAAAGAAAAAATTACCTGGGAGGAACCTGCCCATCTTTTTCTGGCAGAGCAGCTAGTGGATTCAAACCATGTGCCTTTGCATTGGCACTCACCACTAGGCTACCACAGCTCCCTGAAAGGGTGGCCATATCCATATAGTTTTCTGAACTGCTCTTTCTATACCTTAAAATCTCTTTATAAAGACACATACACACAAAGTAGATCATCATTATTGGCTGATTCTGTATTTGCAAATTTGCATACTAACTAATAATAAACTCAACTAAAGATTCTCACCACTGGGCCAATAGGCAGCCCCATGATAGATGGAGAAGAGACTGAGGTTGTTAACAATTACAGCTTGCTCGGCTCCACAATCAACACTCTTGGCATCCGCAGTCAGGAAATCAAATGATGAATTGCACTGGGAAAATCTGCTGCCAGAGATCTCTCCAGAGTACTAAAAAGTAACAATGTCCGTCTAGAGACTATGAAGCACCTAATCCAAAAAAGTTAACTTGCAATTACTTGTATCAGAGACCTGGACAGTGACTAAGGATGACAAAAGAATTGATGCCTTTGAATTGGGTGCTAGAGAAGAGTCTTGAACATACCATGGACTGCCAAGAAAACAAACAGGTCTGTCTTAGGGTGAAACCAAATTTCTCCTTAGAGGCTAGGATTTTGAAGATCCGTCTCACATACTTTGGGCACGTGGCA